GTTATGCCCCTCACCATACTGTGATGATGCCCTGTCAGGCCGGAGCGATGATTCAAAAACAATAAAACCCATTATAAACGAGGCATTCGTTGCAATCTCTTTGGATTTGAGACTTTAGTCTTTGCAACTTTACAGATCTTCTTTATGCACCAAGAGCTTGTAACACTCCAAAGAGAAAGGAAAAATTGAAATAGCATCATATGACCCCTTTAATAAATATTTCCCAGTCAAAACGAAATGTAAACAACAGCATCATGAAATATCCAAAGTGAGGAACTGTTGACAAATATGCTTAAAGGATCTTAAAAATAGATTCCAGTGACAGAAGAATGGCAAACTTTTTCTTGTCTGTTGGGATATCCAGTGCTTGAAGTGGGCCGGTACGCAGAACAGGTGTTGTGCCCAATTTCGACCCCCTGCTAAATTATTACCCCCCTCGTTGAAGCCCCTACCTGATCTAATCCTAACCCCACCCCTAATCCTAACCCCTCCCCCACACCTAATCCTAAACCTACCAATACTATAGGGGGGTAATAATCTGGCAGGGAGTAAGAATTGTACACAAGAACGGTACTCGGAGTCAAGGCGTCAGTGTCTGGGGGATTAGAAATGACACTATATAAATCACACTACCCATGAAGGGTCACCTCTCATCTCGACAAATCACGTGAATGAATGCAAGCGGAGTCGGTCTACTGTGTCAGTGTGTGGGGCGCGCAGAGTAGTAGAATAATAATGAATTATTGATTACTCATTTGAATCAGTACATTATAATGAAAACAATTCTATAACAATGAAAAGAAGCAGGTTTTTGCGATCACATCATTTTAAACCGGTAAAATCCTGGAAAGTCCAAGGATCCAGTAAGCGAATTCAAACAGTAAATTCAAAATAGCGCTAATGCAGAGAATAGTGACTTGCGTCCAGATGTCAGTAATTTGTTATTTTCAGCGTGTATTTGGCTTAAAAGCAAGAGTGTTTTATAATGGATGCTGGCTAAAGGTGTTTTAGATTATGTGGTGGTCAGACGTTTAGTGATTCTGAATGGATCCATAAAGTAGTACAGTCTACAGTCAGGTCAAGGCAGGAGCTTTTGTGGTCTTTGGCGTCTCCCTGTGGCTCTGTTTGGTATTGCAGCTTGATTTGTGCTTATTTGGATTGAAAACATTTAATTATTGATTGTGGCACTATACCTACACTGTGAATTATGAAAATAAAAAAAGTACTTAATTATTTAATTTTAAATAAACAAATAAAAAAGAGAGGGGACTGGGGATGTCATTACTGAATTTATAATAAATCATTTGTAAATGGTAAGTTATGTTTAAATATCTTAGTTCTCTGATTAGCTAGAAAAAAATGTCAGGCCAGGTCAGGCTTTCTCAAGTGATATCTGAAAGGTAGGCAGACATCCCAGATAGCACACGTATGTCTGCAAGATGTTAAAGCTCTCTTCATCTGGAAAGCATCTGCTGTGTACAAACATCTGATAGACGTCTCTAAGATGTCAGTTTTACATACATTGTAAATCATAAACATCTTAAAGACATCTTCTAAAAGTCTATTTGGCATCCGATAGGAAATGTCCAGACGTATTGCAGATGAGCAAACACTCTAAAAAATACGTCTTGCAGATGTAAATGCAGACATCAAATAGACGCCTCTGTGATGTACGTGTGCTGTCAGGGATAGAACGTTCAATGCAGCTTTTGGTTATTTTGGAACCAATTAAGAACGTTCTGAACGTACCTACTGTCCTTTTTTTTAATTTTATTTTTTACTAAAATCTAACTTTCCCAGAACGTTGCAGGGAAGTGTTTTGAGTCAACCTAAAGGGGGAATCAATACAGAACATTGGAATACTATTGGAATACTATTGTTTATTTTTAGGTTTTATTTTTGTGTTTTATTTCAAAAACGGGTTACAGTACTTTTAAATAAAGAACAGTTTGGTTGTCAAACTCAAAACAACTCGTTCCTAAAGCCCTTATTAAATATTTAACATGCGTGAGTCCCAAAAGCAGCTGCTTTTGTCGACGACAAACGCCCCCTCAGCCTCATTGGCTGGAATCGCGGTTGCGCACTGGAAACTCGGTAACTGATTGGCTTCTACGTCTGTCAGTCAAGCTTACACACGGTTGGTTGTGGTGCAGTGATGGTTGATGTGCGCCGTCAAAAGTCAGCGATCTTCTGAGTCTGTACATCCGTAACCGAACGGGATAATGAAATAGCGGAAAGGTAAGGCGTTTAGCGAAGGATACAATGTAATAAGATTAAGGGATGTTAGGTTTCAGTGAGAATTAAAACTTAATTGTGCTATTTGGTTTAAAACGAGTGCTAACTGTTGGTGACTTATCAAGTTGTCGTGCGCGGATGAATGACAGTTAACGTAAACTGGTTTGTGGCAGGCAGAGTTTTGAAAAACAAGTTGTGGTTTTTGTCATTTGAATAGTGATAATGAAAAGCCAACGAATACGACTTTTGCTAAAATGCTAACAGCTTAGGTGACGATTTCGGTTGCGAGCGAGATGAGTGCAAACGACTAAAAACCAACCTCATTATCAAACCAGCCAATCATTGAACGCTTACAGTCAACGCAGACGTTCCTGCGCATGGCTGTGGTTGCAGTTTTGGTCAGCACTCATTTGCATTAGCCACCCGACAGCAGCAACAGTTTGATCATGTGGCTTTTTCTTCAGACTCCGCTCCTCCCTGCTTACTTTAATCCCAGATACTGATGATGAGTAGCAGGAGCGTCCAGACTTGATCCCGGAGGGCCGCTGTCCTGCAGAGTGTAGCGCCATCCCTGGTTAAACACACCTGAACCAGCTCATCAAGGTTGCCTTCCAGGTAAGCTTGTGTGTTTGAGCTAAACTCTCTAGGACATTGGAATACAGTATATTAGTACATTAGTTCATGCTTCTTAAAGAATTAATTCGCCGCAAAACGTGTCTTGATCAATATACATAGCTCAGTGAGCAAAAGTTAAGAGATAAGGGTTCCCACAGTTTGTTTTTTATTTTATTTTTTAACAGCAGAGCAGGTTAAATAATGCACATTAACAACATGTATTAGCAATGAAAGTTATTAAAATTAATACAAAGTGCAAAAGTTAAATATATATATATATATGATATTTATGTTATTATATATTCTGTATATTTTATATAAAAATCGTATGACCTTATTATTTCATGTTATTATGACCTTTGCATCTTAAAAGTAAACCTGGATATAGTAAAAGAGGAAAATATAAAATGAAAAATAAATAAAATCCTTAACCAGTAATCTGAAATAAGCTAATGAAAAAAAAATATTTTTAAATAAATATAAAAACATATTTAAAAAAAAAAAAAAAAAATAGACTATAAG